TTAGATGTGTATTCAATCAGGGTTATAGCAAACCTGAATCCAATCTCGGAGTCAATGAAGGGTCCAACTATATCCAGGCCAAGTTTAGTCCAGGGATTTGCTGGCCTTTCAACAGGAGTTATGGGGACTCGAATAGACTTTAGTCTCTTGTCGTGGTTCTTACATACCCAGCAATTGGTTATCAAGTCTTCCACGTCTTTATCCATCCCGGGCCACCAGTAGCTTTCTCTTAACCTTTGCTTGGTTCTGACCATTCCTTGATGAGCTTTATGAGCAAAGGACAGCAATTTATTTCGGAGAGATACTGGCACTAAAATTTTTCCTTTTTCATTCAAGATCAGGTCCTCCTGAACTGAAATATTATTTCTTAATCTGAAGTATTTATTTAATTGTGAAGATTCATTATTACTCCATGGTTTCATCAGTTGCTCTTTTAAGGCAATAATTTCAGGGCACAGTGAACATTCTCTCAGGAATTCCTCTTCACTGATAGCCAACATGTCCTGATTGATGGATGCAATTAGTTCAACTTCACCATCATAGTCCTCATAGGATGATAGCGATGATCTGGAGAGATAATCAGGTAATACATTATCTCTTCCCTTTTTGTATTTGATGTTGTAATCAAAGTTCATGAGCCTTGCAGACCATCTTGCAATTCTCAGTCCTGCTCTATCGTTGCCTTTAGTTGTAAGCAATGTCGTTAGAGAGGATTGATCCGTTCTCAAAGTGAACTTCAGACCCCAGACCCATCTTCTAAACTTTTCACAAGCCCACACACAAGCGAGGGCTTCTTTTTCAACGATTGAGTATTTCCTCTCGGCATCAGAAAGTGTTCTTGAGGCACACGCCACAATGCGCTCCTCTCCCTTTTCTGACAGCTGTGAGACTACGCATCCTATGCCAGTATGAGATGCATCAGTTGTAATGACCGTAGGCAATTTTGGACAAAATAGGGCAAGTACTTGTCCCTTTTTAAGAGAGTCCTTTACTGTTTGCAAAGCTTTTGCATGATCTCCTCTCCACTTAAACGGAACACTTTTCTTAAGCAACTTTTGTAGAGGTTCCATAATTGTACTTTTGTTAGGGATGTATTTCTGGAACCAGTTTAACATTACGATTAAGGATCTAAGACCTGACTTATCTTTGGGAGGAGGGGCATCTAAGAGAGGTTTCATCAACTCCTCACCCAGATGAACTCCATTATCATCAATTATGTGCCCTAAAAAATTTAAGGACTTCTGCCTGTAAATTGACTTTGCGTCATTTAGCATAAGGTTGACTTCTCTAAGTCTAGACAGAACTTGATTTAACTTTTTATCATGGTCTTCCATACTGCTACCCCCAATTATTATATCATCGAGGTAACAATTTACACCTTTAATGTCCATCAGAAGTTCACTTAAATATCTTTGAAAAGCACCTGGTGCTGAGCTCAGGCCACAAGGCAACCTTTTAAACTGGTAAATCCCCATATGAGTAATAAAAGCAGTGAGGTACCTGCTATCAGGGTGAAGTCTTATCTGGTGGTATGCCTGGGATAGATCCAAGTTAGTAAAAACGTTACAAACGTGCAAGGATGATAGTATGTCCTCAATTAGTGGAATTGGGTAGGCATCCAATATCACAGCCTTGTTCGGTTCTCTTAGGTCAACGCAAAGCCTTATTGAGCCATCTTTCTTTTTGGAGACCACAATGGGTGATTTAGATGTAACAATGGGTTCAATGATGTCCATTTTCACCAGGCGTTGAATTTCCATGTGTACTTCATCTAAAAGGACTGGTGGCAGTCTCCTTAGTTTTTGTTGTACCGGCGGTACACTCGTATCAACAAAGATTTTATACTCAATGTCCTTTGCGAAGGGTAAAGTTTCAAGAATCTTGCTACTTTCAGTGATTTGGTTGACTTTTCCATCCTTTATGGAAAGCCCGAGTTTATTAAATAACTCCAATCCCAAAATAGGTGAGTCAGCTCTAACAACATGTAAGAGCGTATGTACAACAGTGTTACCATGCTTAATTTTAGCGGGAAGGTCACCAAGTACGTGAATAGCTTGCTGCGTATAGCTTTTTAGTGCTACCGAAGCTGGGTTTAATTTAATGTTTTCAAAGAATTTGCTGTACAAACTCTCTGGTATCAATGACACTGAGGATCCTGTGTCAACTAGGAACTTTATAAGAACATTACTTGTTCCACCATTAACATTCAAGTCCATATCAAGCTTTGAAGGCTGATGAATTGGTTGGTTACATTGCGCCATTGTAATGTTCTTAACTGAAAACTTAGATAAACAATACTTTTTAAAATGTCCTACCTTCAGGCACTGGTGACACTTTACATCCTTAGCAGGACAATCAGGACTTGTAGCTTTATGCTTACCTCCACAGCGCAGACACTTGAAGTTTGTCGAGATCTTTTTGCGCTCCCGAAGATTAGGCTCAGTGCGGCGATCATTAGCAGCGATCTTATTTATCCCTTCGGGCGTATTATCAAACATATTGTTGTCCTCCTGGCCTTCTCGTACTGAGTAGCAAGTTGCACCACTTGATCCAGGTTTAAGTCCGTAGTCTCCACTAGAAGCCGATCCCGTAGTTGCTTGATTTTGGTTCCGACAATGAACCGATCCCGAATCAATCCGTCTTCCATAGAACCATAGGCACAGTCTTTAGCCAGCGCGCGTAGTGCCGATATGTAGTCAGCGATTGTCTCGCCTTGTAATTGCCTTCGATCATTAAACTTCATCCTGATTACCCAGGGGCGAGATTTAACATATCTCTGCCTCAGAAGATCAATAGCTTCACTTAAGGAAGTGACAGTACTGGCCTTGGGCAACGTGTAATATTGCCGTTGTGCTTCAGCTCCAACACTGTTAAAAAAGATAGCAATTTTTCTGTTTTCTTCCACATTTAGATCATCCTCA